CTGTTTTTGAATCTAAAAAGCTTGTATTAACCCATAATGGGCACTTTGTTGGAAATGACTATTCCACTAAAGGAATGGTCAAACTATGTACTATTGAGGATAACTCAAATAAAGTTAAATCTTTTGCGTATGTTACTGATTCATTTAATTTATGACATGGTAGATTAGCACATATAGGAGTTAATACTATGAAAATAATAATTAAATGTGGCTTAATACAATGTGAAATTGACAATTTGGAAAAATGTGAAACATTTGTTAAATAAAAAATGATTAATAAGCCATTTCATAGCGTAGTAAGAATAACAAGACTACTTGAACTTATTCATTCCGACATATGTGAATTGAATGGAACGTTAACTAGAGGCGATAATAGATATTTTATTACTTTTATTGATGATTGTTCTAGATATACCTATGTGTACTTATTAAAACATAAGGATGAAGCCTTTAGTGCCTTTAAGACTCATAAGATTGAAGTTGAAAATCAATTAGGAAAAAAATTAAAGACTTTAAGAAGTGATAGACGTGGGGAATATTTTTCTAATGAATTTAACATATTTTGTGAATAAAATGGAATAATACATCAATTTTCTGCACTTAGAACACCGGAACAAAAATGGATTAGCAGAAAGAAAGAATATAACTCTTTTAGAAATGATAAATGCAATGTTGTTAAATTTTGAATTACTCCTTAACCTATGGGGTGAAGCCTTACTTAGTACTTGTCATTTAACAAATAGGATTCCTAAAAAAAGAATAAAATTTCTCCATATAAAATTTGGAAAAATAGAAAACCAGTTATCAGTTATTTTGAAGTGTGGAGGTACCTTGCATATTGTAAGAATATGGATCCTAAGAGAACCAAGTTAGGTACTAGAGGTATTAAATGTGCTTCTGTGGGATATGCTCTCAACAGCAAAGCCTATAGATTATTAAATCTAGAAACGGATATTATAATAGAATCAAGAGATGTGGAATTCTTCGAGAATGTAATTGTAGCTAGAAAATCTGAAAATAATGATAACGATATTTCAATCTTTAGAAGCTCACTAGAAGAGACATCCATAAAGAATGTTGAAATTCAACCTCGAAAAAGTAAAAGAACTAGAAAAGAAAATAACTTAGGATCAGATGAAATAGATCCCCAAATTATTTCCTTTTACTGAGTAGAAGGAGATAGGAATGATGTTGTAAAAACAATTTCATTTGTTCTTCGAGTGGAAAGTGATTCTAGGACTTATAAGGAAGCGGTGCAATCTAGAGATTGCATGTTCTGGAAAGAAGCCATAAACAACGAAATGGATTCTATTATTTCAAATAACACTTAGGAAATAGTTGACTTGCTAGCAGGATCTAAGACTATTGGTTGCAAGTGGGTGTTTAGGAAGAAATACAATCCCGATGGATCACTTAATACCTACAAGGCTATATTAGTGGCTAAATGATATCGTCAAAGAGAAGGAATTGATTACTTTGATACGTATGCACCCGTAGCCAGGATAACCTCGATCAGGATCTTATTTGCGTTAGCATCCATTTATGATCTACATGTTCATCAAATGGAAGTCAAGACGACGTTCCTAAATGGAGATCTCGAAGAAGAGGTTTATATGGAACAACTAGAAGGGTTCGTTCTATCGGGAGATGAACATAAAGTGTGCAAATTAATTAAATCCTTATATGAACTAAAGCAAGCTCCCAAAAAGTGGCATGAGAAATTTGACTCTAAAATAATGTCAAATGGATTTAATAACAATTCGGTAGATAAATGCCTCTACAAGAAAGTGAATGAAAATATATTCACGTTATTATGTCTATATGTTGATGATATGCTAATCATTAGCAATAATATAGACGGGATCAAAGAAACAAAATTGTTTCTATCCTCTACTTTCAAAATGAAGGATCTTGGAGAAGTTGATACTATCCTTGGTATCAAAGTTAAAAGGGATAGTAGGGGTTTTACATTAAGCTAATCACACTATGTTGATAATGTGATAAACAAATTCAAACATTTGAATGTTAAGGAGGCTAACACTCCTGTAGATCCAAATATTAAATTAATAAAAAATGGAGGTAGAGCAATTGCACAAATAGAATACGCAAGTGCAATTGGAAGTCTTATGTACACATCACAATATACAAGACCTGATATAGCATTTGTTGTAAGTAAACTAAGTTGGTTTACTAGCAATCCAAGTTTAGAACATTGGAAGGCTATCGGTAGGGTTCTTGGTTACCTAAAGAATATAAAAAAATTTGGGCTACAATATATGAAATTTCCTAAAATCTTGGAAGGATACACCGATACAAGTTGGATATCGAGTGCGGGAGAGAATAAATCTACTTCAGGTTGGATATTCACTCTTAGAGGTGGTGCAGTTTCTTGGAAGTCTAAGAAACAAACTTGTATTACTCATTCGATTATGGAATCGGAGTTTGTAGTATTGGCCGAAACCGGAAAAGAAACTGAGTGGCTAAGAGATTTATTATATGAAATACCTTTAGATATAAAGGATATTTCTTCTATACCTATCTTGTGTGATAGTCAAGTCACTTTAGCTCGAGCATATAACTAAGTATATAATGGAAAGTCTAGACACATGAGTCTAAGACACGAATATGTAAGGAAATTAATCAAACATGGAGTAATTTCTCTTACATTTGTTAAGTCTATGAAACCTCTCACAAAAGAGTTAGTGAGATCAACATCAAGTAAAATGAGATTAAAACTCCTCAAATAGATCCTCCAGTAACAGCAACCTCACCAAAATATACTAAACTAGTATACACATAGGTTCAAGAGGTAACAACAAGTCATTCGATAAGTGGATGGATTCATCAGTATTTAATATATTTAATACTATCTTTGAAAAATAGTGTTGGTTGTTACTGTTAGAGGTATGAGTTAAAATAAACTCTTAATGAAGTTCAGTACGAAGTACAAGTATCTGTAAAAGTAAAAAGATACTGAAAGAACTTCACCTATATAAACTTCGAGGTGGTGCCGCTTTATTAGAGAGTTGGAGTTTTCTCTTTTTAAAAGTTCAATGAAATAAGATTAGTACAAGACCATATTAGCACTAAGCGAGTTAGAAGAACTAGTGAAAAGCTTAACACTTGTGTGTGTGATTTAATCGGTATTGTCACAAAGAATAACTGATTCAAGGTACATTAGCCACCTGGAATTCTAATAATACTTTATAAGATTTACACTACGAATAGATTCAAATATAAAGATATCTAACTCTTATACATAAGTGTTGATATTTGATTATATGATTAAAATAGATTTTGAACAAGTGGGGAATTATTGGAAATTTATTTGTTGTTCAAAATCAAAAGAAAAAAAGAAGAAAAAGGGGGCTTAACCATGCGACCGCAAGGATTAAGCCTATGCAGTCACATGAGGTCCTCCCAAGCGAGACTATAACCATGCGACTACATGGCTATAGCCCATGCGGTCACATGGTTATAAAAAACTAAACGTTACCGTTTTTTATTCAAATTTGGTGACTTTTCACCAGTTTCTTACACCATTTCATAGGAACTTATCAAGGCCTATGAATAGGTGATCCAAGTGCAAGAAAAATAATATTGAGTTCCATTAAAATTTATTCCCAAATACACTTCCAATAATGAGAAAATTTATCATATAATCCTTCTATTTTTCACTTGTTCATTGTGAAGAAACACATTTGCTTTTTGGTGTTCTTCTTGTCAATGTTTGTTTAATCCTACAAACTATTTGCCGAAAATCCTTAAAAAGCATTGGAAATGAGGCAAATAACGTTTGAGGACAGCGAGATTAATTTCGTGTTCAAACCTACATTGATATACTTTTATAATTTTCTTCTCCATTGCCATTATTTTTTGCAACAATATATAATTCCATTTCACAAAAGGTAGGTCATTTTAGTCTTAGCCAAATTCCCTCATTCTCTCGTATACCCATTGTATCTCTTTTTATTGTCGATTTGAATGTCAGAGTATAAACGATCATCGGATTTTTTTCTCAATTGGTGTCCTTTGCACCCTAACATGGTGTTTCCATGTTCATGTGATGCTTACACAAGGGCGAGTTTGTCGGGATTCTATTGGCCACATGTCCATCAAATTTTGATGTCAAAAGATTTCTTCTTATTTTTCCCCAAAAGGAAATGATATGATAATTTCTTCAATTTTACTCCAGTTACATGAAGTTTGATATTGTTTTGATATTACAGTTTTTTCTGTATTGATTTTAACAACACTTGAAACAATCAAATGCCATAGATTGACTTAGTGTACACAAAGATTGTACAAGTAGTTTAATTCTAATTTCTTTTTGTGTTTCATGCGCATGAGTGATCTATCCATCCAAAATATTGAGACATAAACACTAGTCATATCTAGTTTCTAGATATTTGTCTGATCCGCAACCACAAAAATTACGTGACCGAAAATACACTAAGAGTATGTTGCATGAACATCTTCATTCACTACACATCAAATACAAGAGCACATTAGGACATCAATTTTCGAAAGTGTGATGTGTAGAGTTATGGATTTCGTGTTAACGATAGTAATGCAATCATACTCTAAATATATCGACTACGTGTAGACTATAAATTGATTAAATGTTAAATAAAATCAATAAAATTCTATTTATAGTTTTCATCATGTTTTATATTACGTACTAAACATATTGTCTTAAATTTTGATTGATTTTTTGATCAACTCTTGAGGGCTCTTTGGGAAGTCCCCGTTTAGCTAATGTTTATAAATTATTTATAATCAATCAAATCACTTATCATTCATAAATTTTATAAAATTCACAAATACTATTCACTTATTACCGATTCATATATATTTATTTATAATTTAAAATAATTGTAAAAAACTCCCAAACATGCTTGTGCTGCTTTTTCTAGTGTTAGGGTTGCTTTGTAGGGGTATCGTCTACAGAACATAAGTATGCGATTCGTGCAGTAGCAGCCGTATTGATCAATCAAAGGGTAGAAAATTCATAAACGCGTCGTCCATAGAACAAGCGATTTATGGGTTTGCAACTGTACGATGTTTAATTGGTGCTTTGCTTGTGTGTCCAGTAAAGCAGCAGTAATGCAATCATAATCTCACACAAAAGTATTTAAATCTTTCCACCAGCTTCTTTTCATTATTATTACTGTAATCAAATTCCTTATCCTCTAAAAAATTCTCATTCTCTGTTTTTCCTGCTGATTACGGTTGGTCTTGAATTCCCTGTTTCGTATTAATATTAAACGTCTGCTTGTATCTTATACTGGTCTTTATATTTATGATTTTGTTCTGTTTTTTAGAGGATATAATTTTTCGTAGCACTGGCTATAGGTTACATTGCGCAGTAATTTTTTCTTCGTGTTGATTGTAAATTGCTTTCAACGTTCGCAAATGCTTGTACAATTGTACCTTATCATGTATTGGGAACTAATTTTCACAAGAGAAAGCTTTTGGAAGATAATTTCATTTTTTTTCCCGTTGACCCATTTCGGAAAATTAGTCACAATTTCTTTTTGTTAAAATAGAAAATTTGATCGGAAGTGATAATCTTTAGATCTATAAATGATTTGTTGCATATTGATTTCATTACTACGCAAAATTCATGTTTTGAGACCGAATTTTATTCTATTTGGGATAGAAAGTGTAAGGGTCTAGATTTCTTCTCAATGATCTTTGTATTAGAGTGAAAATTATGCCAATTGCTATATTTTGGATGCTTCAGGGCGAGTAATTACTTTTTATTGTATTATTTTAAGCTTTTTGATAAATTTTATAGATATTGAAAGAGGGCCACTCATGAATAATTATAATTATTAATAAAGAGAAGTTATGTATTTCATAACGTGATGAGAAAATGAAAGCTGAAGTATCAGAATGGATATCCATGAATAAAACCCTGTTATTTTTATGCACTTGGTACACTTGTAAGTATGGTGATTCATATTTAACTCCAACAATGTAAACAAAAAAGAATGCTTAGTAGAAAATAACTCTGTGAGTTCTTTGAAGGTAATTTTTGGTCTCTTTGATGAGATGTAAATGTCATTCACATTTTAAATTGCTGACCTGTGGTCAAGGTAGTTCAATTAAGTTTATGCAGATCGTGGGGGACAAGTATTAGTGTCTTTCATAGGATTCAATTCAAAGGGGTTTTATGTAATTCATACTTTTTTCTTGTCAGTAAGAAAAATATGAATTACTAGAATAACATTCCATAGATAGAGGTCTGTAGAGGAAAAGAACAGATAAACGACTTATGGCTTGGACTAAATGATGTAGCTTTTTACTTTCCGTTTATGCGAATTAAACTATAAATAAGATGAAATATGTTATTGTATTAGATGCTTTATAATTTTCATTTAATGATTCTTGTTTTTGGAGTTGTTTCACTGAGGCAGAATAACATTTCCCCTTCCACCATCTTTGTTCTTTCTTTACTTTGTGATCTTCACGAATTAGGCTGAAGGTTCCTTCAGTTTCTACCTCATCAAACTGGCATCAATAATAAAGTTTTCAATCACTAGGATTGGTCTTAGATTACTGTATAAAGTGTTTCCCAAGTTCACTTTTTTCATATATCTGCACCACTTGATTTTTTAGTTCCTTTTCCGGCCTTTTACAGCTTCAAGATCATTTCAAGAAAGATACTTTCATATGGCAATTCTTGAAGATAACCAGGAGCATGGGTGGATAGAAAAAGTGAAATCAGAAGGTTCTGTACCGCTGCTTGAGCCAGGTCACTGTCCAAATGGTTGGGCTTCTCCTCCCGGAGATGTTTTCAAGGTTAGAGGGCCAGAATACTTAAAGACAAAGGCTAAGATTCCTGGTGGTGATTATCTTCTTAAGCCTCTTGGTTTTGACTGGATTAAAGGACCAACCAAGATTTCAGAGCTCTTAAATAGTACAAAAAGTCGTGTTAGGAGAGCTCTCGATGATGAAATTTCTAAGGATTGTAAAAAGCCTTTCATTTGGGCTTTCAATTTGCAAGTCCCAAGCAAGGAAAACTATAGTGCTGTTGCTTATTTTGTGGGTATGGAGCCAATACCTGAGGGCTCTTTGATGGATCAATTCCTAAAAGGGGATGACGGATTCAGGAATTCAAGATTAAAATTGATAGCCAACATTGTCAAAGGCCCTTGGATTGTGAGAAAAGCAGTTGGAGAGCAGGCTATCTGCATTATCGGCCGAGCAGTTACTTGCAAGTATTGTTTAGGAGAAAACTTTATCGAAGTTGATATAGATATTGGATCTTCAGTGGTTGCAAATGCAATTGTTCATCTTGCATTTGGTTACATAACAATGCTTACTGTTGACTTAGCTTTTCTTCTTGAGGGCCAAACCGAATCAGAGCTTCCAGAACAAATCTTAGGAGCCGTTAGATTTTCTGAGCTCAATACTGCTTCAGCAAGGCAAGTTGAACTGCATTCTGAGAAGAGCACAGAGAATTTGCAGTCATCACTTCCAACAAGATTTTGGAAATCACTTGGTCAGGGCTTCTCCCATCTTATTAAGCCAGGTGGTCAAGAAAGTGATTCCAACTCCCATGCAGCATATGTCAATGGGGATGTTGATAACAAAAGTATTGCAGATGTCAGCAAGTTATAGGTATTGCTTTTTTAAAACAATTAAATTCCCGACGAAAAAGTAACATTATTTTAGCTTTCAGGCTCCTAGGTGTATTAAGTTACTAGTGAATTTGCTTCCAGCTTGAAGTAATTACTGCATTTTTCTTCTTTAAGTAGGACATCATTGCTAGTAGTTGGTGATGAACTGATAGTGACCAACAACAACAAACTAAACCTTATTTTAAATAAATTTGGGATCAGATGCTTGAAATGTAAGATACCATAATATCAGATCTTATAAAACCCATCATGCCTAGTTAATTGTCATACGCCTGCCTCTCTCTCTCTGTGCCCCCTAACTCGTATTATGTGAATCACAAAACTCTTGTAGGAGGGAGCTTCCTTAGTTCTACACAAGATGTTTCTCAACAACAGTAGTTGAGCTTCTCTCAGTTTATCTTAAATTGATGTCTTGTCCACTAGTTAATATATATTCATTTAATACGTTATCCATTATAGTATACATGCGCACCCATCTAGTGCCTAAATTATCAAAAGCTGCAATTTGAGGAAGTTTTAGTACCCTCTCAAATAGTTGTGGTAAATTGATGTGCTGTTTTCATTTTAGACGAGCTTACTTTGACTTTCAACTGGTACAAGATTATCTTTCCCAGTTTGTCGGTAATATTAATCTCAAATACTTTAAACTTGAATATGTATCTCGGAAGATCTAAATTTGGTTCTGTTCTGTTAATATCAACTTTGCTTATTACCTGATGGTTTGTTTTTCATTCATTATTTCTCCCGGAATGTTTTGAAATAAAATGTAATGTCACGAAGAGCACTATCTCTTCAATTTTACAAATCAATCTGAAGCAGATAATATTTCCTTTTCTTCCTTTCTTGCATTTTGAGATTTTTTCTTGTGCTATCCTTTAGAGTTGTTTTGAATTTTTGGCTATGTTATCCCTGTATTTGTTCCCAATGACCTTGGCTAAAAAGTTCCCCAGGCTTCAAAAACTTCAGTCTGAATCCTTCAAACTTAGCAACCACATCTTGTTGTAATAATAAAAATCTTATCACATACTTTACAGTTGGACAAGTCATAATAGAACCTCTTTTTACATAAATTATTATACAGTAGAAAAATTATGGACTTGCAGCTCCCACGCAATTGAAAATTTCCTGTATCTTGACCTAAGAACCCCTATTACTATCTGTGTTTATGCATATGCTATACATGAGGCTAATATTACTTTAAACTTCCTTCCTCTTGTACGTTGCAACTCCCGTAGAAATCAAGAGAGCCAACTGCCCCTCCCTCATCCCCAAGAAGAGATGGAAACATGCATTATAGAAAGGGTCAATGAAGGGAAGGGGGGCCCCACGGAAATTTGAGAAATTATTTTTTGTGTGAATTTTTATATTTTTATAATTTTGAACTTTTTTTTTTTTATATATTATATTTTATGTTTCTAAAAAAGAAATATTGTTAGTTAAGCCCCTATTTGACAGCCTTTTTTTCTTTTTCTTTTTTTAATGTAAAATGAGTTTTTAAATAGTAAATTTGTGAAAAATGTGTGATTAAAAAGTAAGAAAAACTTTTAGGTTTACGTGAAAAATATTTTATTGTGAGAATGTATGATTTAAAATGAGTTTGGGAATAAAGGAGTTTTAAAAGAATGGTTGTCAAACTGGGGCTAAATTAGGCTCCCACTAGACCTCAGTCCTGGTTCCGCCACTGGAAAGGGTGTACGCCTCTTGGTGTAAGTTATTTATTTATTTTAATTTTTTCACTTGTATAGTGTTCAAATCTGGTCAATTACTTTTACTGGGATTTAATGTTTTTGAGCCCCTTTGTGCATTTTCTTTCATACTATGAGAAGGGATTAATTAGTTTGTCACCTGCAGGTCCTTGTCGCCACATATATCACATTTGATTCCCATTAGAAGAGATTAATACATTACTTTGCAGTTCTTCGAAGTGCATATTGAACCTTGAGCTTCCGGATTGCAAGTTGTACTTGCTTCATGTATATTTATTGTGGTATAAATTGGAATGAACTGCCCATCCGAGAGCAGCAATATATCTCCTGTTTTTAGCATGAGTCTTGCGATTTCAACATTAGTTATTCACACACTCACCGTGTCTATGTTTATTGTACAAGATCAGTACAAATGACAATGGAATTGCATCCTCTAATGAATTCTGTACATGTTTTCCTTTTGATGTTTCCCTTCTTTTCTCTTTGTTTCAAAGAGAGGAAGCATGTAGTGCAACTTTTTTCTTCTATGCTTTCAACTCTGTGTGTAGTTGGGGGTACGTTGGAGAGATATTTACTATAAAGTTGTTTGCAACCCCTTGAGATTGAGAGCTAATTTACTTGTACATCCAGAAGAGTTATAGTAGTGGGAAAGCTAGATTTGCCTCCATTGTTTCTCTTTCGTTCAGCTTTGAGCTTAGCTTCGACTATTTGAAGAATTGATTTTCCCCAGGTAACCGAATACTTTTGTATGTAAATATTGCATATTTGATTTCATCCAGGGGTTACAGATTGACCATAGAACCATGTTCAATAAGTGGAATGCATTAGCTATTTGTTCTCACGTTGGACAATAAGGGTTGGAGAATGGCAATCAAAAGACTTGACAATATAACGAACTGTGTTTGAATTTTTTTCCTACTAATTTATCTAGTCTTCCTTACTAAACATGTAATGTGTACTACTATAGTACACATCGATAGATTCAAGGGCATGTCAGCTGGAGCTCCCGGTTTTCCTTATTCGAGAGAGCAAATGCTCGAGACTGAAGAACAATGCCATAATAAGATGTACAAACACACCAGCCAGACACCCTATTATAAATGACTCCAGAGCCAGTTTTGAGATCAGAAATCAAAGCTACAAAAGGCTGATCAAAGGCTGTTATATGGTTGAATTGTAATCAAGAGATATTGGGTCTCAAATTGGTTCAATTGATGGCCAAATTAGCCTAGAAACTGCTATTCATTAGCTGCCGTATAATGTACATTTCGAGGGCTAACACCGGCCTTTAATTAGGGTAAAGCGAACATTGTACAGTGTACGTGTAACTAAGAATGGATTCAAGTAACTTGTCGTAGATTGCAACGAAGGGGTGCTAATAATCTTCAGGAACATCATTTTACTCGGTAAGGTTATGGGGAACCTTACAAATGTTTCATTGTTCGTCGAATTAATAAAAGCCACCTTACTCCGCTTAGTCCAAAGGTCGTTTCTTTACTATTTCAGCCCCCAATAGAAATAAATCATGAAAAAAAATATAAATTTAACTGAAAACCAACATCAAAATCACTTGAATGGAACTTAAATTACAAATGAATGCCCAATACATGATCCGAAGCAGGTCCATAGTTGTCCTTTCCCACCTCCGCCTCAAAATCAGGACCTTAATCCAAACTTATATCCAAAAAATAAACGCATTCACAGAGAGAGAGAGAGAGAGAGAGAGAGAACATTATGCAGCAGAAACAACCACTCTATAAAGTTTAGCTATCAAACAAGATTTACAAACTCAATATCCCCAATGCTGAACAGCAAGAAAGAGGAGAGAAGGGGGAGAAGGATACACTGTTCCTGTTGATAAACACGTGATCAAATGCACATATTTATTGAAACTAAATCCAAATATGGCACAGAAACAGCCCACTCCCTCAGGCTCAAGCAATCAAAAATGTTGTATAGATTCATTTTGCTCACGGCCGACTAGCTAGTCTGCACCTAGGCAAAGTACTCCTTCCTCGGTACATGTCTAATACGACAACCTTTTTCATTTTCCTAGTGGAAAAATTTACTACACTTGATTAAGGCAATATTGTTGCTGCATTATAGGTCTTTCTTATGCCAAAATATCTATAAACATGATGGGGATGTCTCAGGGAGCTCCCATTTATCTCTTCATGTATTAGAGGCTGTTACGGTTCACCTATTCTAGAAGGATCAAGAAGAATGGGGAAGCAGCTGGAGAATAACTAATTTCTGTTTTAAAGGCAAGTGGGAAAACTAAATCAGTTAGGGAAATGTCATAAATAGACGTGAGAAGAAGGGGAGAGGCAGGCAAATTGATAGAGAGTGAGAGGGCAGTTAGATGATAATAGAGGATTGGCACCAAGTTTATAGAAACGATATATTAGCCAATAAAGTATTAAACACCTTAACCTAAGATGAAAGAAGGCATCTGTTATCATTCCTTTTTTCTGTAATCTTTCCCAGTATTGAATCAAAGTTTGTTTATTCATATATTCTATTCTAAATTTATCCAGTAGGAACCTATCAAATTGGTATCTAAGCGGTTCTCCTGATGGCACAAAAGATGGCACAAAAGAAGGCGGACAACGGGATGGATCTCATACAAAAGGAATGATAACAGATTCTTATTAAAGGCTTGTGACTATCAACTAATTGCCCTCTCACTCTCTATTAATTTGCTTGCCTCTCCCTTTCTTCCCACGTCTATTTATGACATTTCCCTAACTGATTTAGTTTACCCACTTGCCTTTAAAACATAAATTAGTTACTCTCCAGCTGATTCTCCGTTCTTCTTGATCCTTCTAGAATAGGTGAACCGTAACAGCCTCTAATACATGAAGAGATAAATGGGAGCTCCCTGAGACATCCCCATCATGTTTATAGATATTTTGGCATAAGAAAGACCTATAATGCAGCAACAATATTGCCTTAATCAAGTGTAGTAAATTTTTCCACTAGCAAGAAAAAATAAAGTTAGCAGTTGACCGACACCGACGTGACTCCAATTGGCCGAAGGGGATTTGTTCTATGTTATGCTCGGACTTTATCGCCTTCACTCCTTGGCAAACAGGCCAAATGAGAACCTCAGGCCTTAGTATTCTGGTTTGTCTGAAGTTATGAAACGTATAGGTCCGGTGGCATATCGTTTGAAGCTACCCACTTCCGCCACAATAAACCCTATTTTTCACAATTCACAGCTGAAAAAGACCCTGGGACATAAGGTTAGCCAATCAACTGTTTCTCCCCATCTCAGGGCCAACCTCGAGTAGGTGGTAGAACCCAAACAAGTCTTGGAAATACGTCAAGCACCTCTAGGAAAGGAAGTATTAATTCTTTGGAAGAACCTACCGGTGTCTGAGGCTTCTTGGGAATCAGTAAACTCCATTTTAGAACACTTTCCCGACTTCCACCTTGAGGACAAGGTGTCTTTGGAAATTGGGGGTATTGTTAGGCCTCCGATACTGTCCACTTATTTTACAAGGATCAAGAAGAATAGAGAAGCAGCTGAAGGGTAAGTAATTCCTGTTTTAAAGGCAAGTGGGAAAACTAAATCAGATAGAGAAACGTTATAAATAGACGTGGGAAGAAGGGGAGAGGCGGGCAAATTGATAGACAGTGAGAGGGCAGTTAGTTGATAGTTACAAGCCTTTCATATGCATCTGTTATCATTCCTTTTTTCTGTAATCTTTCCCAGTATTCAATCAAATTTTGTTTATCATACTCTGTTCTAAATTTGTCCCGTAGGAACCTATAAGTGGCTTAGAAAAAATCATTAAAAATACTACTGAAATATTTTATAACCACTCAGTAAAGAGTATCTGCAATCAAATAACAATAATAATGATAGTAGCTAGATTTGAGGGCACATCATTCAATTTTGTTGGATGATCCTTTGGTAACTACGTGACAAATTGAATGAAGTGGACAAGCAGACCACAAACATGTGGAATGAGGCTAGTTTATGATTATAACACTGTTTCAACAATGGGGCTCTAAATGCCTCTAGGTAATTGTAATCATAAAAATAAAAAGTGTTTAACAGTCTTTTGTTATTTAGCTTGAGAAGAAAATAAAAAACAGTTAAAGAATTAGAAAAATGGAAAAACGATTATCAGATTCCTCTAATCACATGTAGTTTGATAATGAAAGCTCAACTTTACAAAGAATATTTTGACTTATTGCTTTATTTCTCTTAAGTTATCCATTTGCATAAAAAAATTCATGAAGGAATTATTTGACGTGTGACAAATTCCTCATGTCTGAAAAGAAAAGATCAATAGCAAATGAATTTCCCTCATCCTATATCCAACTGTTCATAATTGAGGAAATTAAGATTGTAAAAAATTGGTACACGAGCACAATGGCTGCTAAGTTTAGGACCAAGATTCAACAAATTGGAGAAGCTTCTAAACACATCTTAAAGAGGAGTGAAAAATGAAGGTTACCAGTGACTCCTCCTTATAGTTTCATAAGATACTTGACATTCATGCTAATCTGAAAAGCAGTAAAAGCAGCCTCCCAGAAGAGTCACCTTATCATAGCAATAGCTAAATGACCAGATAAATCCGAAGAATTTAAGTATAAATGCAAAATAAAGAGCAATATTTCTCTCGAAAGCTAGACAGTATCTGTACTGACTTCTGGCAATGTGCTCATCTGCAAGGTTCTATCATTCCCCGAAGATATGAAACGCACAGACGGCATGGAAGGATCTGTCACCGATTCGATCTCGAGAAAGCTGAAATCATATGTACCAGACTTTTTCAAGCTAAAAATAAGTACAAGCATGATCCACCCCAGCATAGATACCGCCCAATAATTGTTCATTCCATGGATCAAACCCCAGGCGATAGAATATCCACAAATGATTCCTGACAAATGACCAAGGAAACTCGCTTGGGGAACAATTATAGAGGTAAAAATGAGGGATTCAAATGGGGCAAAACTGATGGGAAGTGACAGAAATCCAAAAAGATCCAATTTAGACGAGGGCTGTTTCACTGACAAAATTGTCATCCACCCAAAAACAACACATGAATACCCAACTGCGGTCACTCTCCTAAAGTAGTCTATCTTGAACTTTTGGATCAAAACATGGTACAACCCGAGAACTAGCATTCCCGATAAAACAACCAATACCAGTGAATAATGAAGATAATACTCCAAACCAAGACCCATATGGCCTAACTGCTCAATGATCCCGAGGCTCCAAAGAGCACTCATATTGAAAACAAGATGAAGAACACTAATATGTGATAAAGCCGATGTTATTATCCTCCAGTGGTGACCTTCCACTGCAGTATCATAACTCAAGCCCACATTTGAATACCCAATGTTCTTCTTCTGTATATAGAACCATATTGCACTACATAATCCTATTATACAACTTGTAGCTGGCTTTTCCCATATCTCATAAAGTAATGGTTTCCCCATCTAGACCAATCCAAACACTCTGCAATGGAATTTCAAACTTTAATTTCCAAAAACTTATGACTTGATATAGTCAAATACACACTTGGATCAATCTAAAGGCTCAATTGGTTTCACTTTGAAGTATGTGAAGCAACACACAGCATAAATCAATAGAACCCACTTCAAGATATCCCTAAATCAACCCAGCCAGATCTGATACAATCTATTGCCGTTCAAAATGCCACTAAAAATTGAGAATTGTACAATACACCCAATTACTAAATATTAAACTGAATGGGTTACTCAGAGATCCAATAATCAGCTATTAAATGCAGATAATTGTAGAAAATTCCTGGAAGCCCATCAAGTAACAGAGTTCAAAATCACTGAGAAGGATGATTGCGGATGAACAATGAAGAAGGATTACCTGATTTCAGGGACAAATAAATGGAATAATTTAGGGTGGGGATGGTGAAACAGGGGTTCGCCCAAAATTTATATTCTTTAGGGAAAAAAAATAAAGAAAAAGAGGGAAATGAATGAATATTCGGTTTTAATTTTTATTTAATAATTTAATCCCATTAATTATAAGGAAAACTGCTCCCTTTGCTCCCAAACTATAAGTATGGGTAGAATATTGTTTCTATTTTTATTTTTAAATTTATACTTTATTTTATTTTTTAAAAAATATTGTACATTACTCGTTGTAAACTAGACATTTTTCAAAATATAAAATTTATGTTAGTGAGTAACGTACAACATTTTTCAAAATTCAATGACCAAAACTCGATATTTTAAATTTTAATGAACAATCGAAGACATGGACCTAAGTTTAGTGACCAAAACTCGACATTTTAAATTTTAGAAACCATTCAAAGATATGGATCTAATTTCAGTGACCACTGGAATAATTAATTTACACTAGTACCTACAACATGTCTGTTCATTTCCCAATTTTATTTATTTTATTTATTTTTATTTTTTTTTTTTGGAACTACAACTCAAAAAAATTGTAATCAGAAAAGGCTATAATACTTAGGGATGACAATTTACCTCACCCCATCCCGGTGGGGCTCGCTCTGAATGGGGCAAAAAAATCCCGCCCCAAACGGGTTGGCGGGGCAAGGCTGCCTCGCCCCATGAAGAAAAAAATAAAATTAAAAATAATTTTTTTCTAAACAATTTATCCGTTAAAAATTTATTTTAAATTTGTATTTTATTTTCTAATAATAACATAATTTGAAACTTTCAAAATATAAAAAATTAAAAAAATAATTAATTAAACAGGGCAACAAACTATGCAAAAAGTTGTCCCGTCCCTATCCCATCAAAGTGTTCTGGCCAAGCAGGGCGGGCCCCGAACCCACCCCATTGCCACCACTAATAATACTCTTACTTTTTCTTCGAAATAAGTGCATTTCGAAACAAAACAAAAATGAACAGTAATTTAGTTTTCCATTATTCAATTTTAATTTAATTTTTTTTAGATTACTAACTTCATGTAGTTTTAAATTTTTATTATTCTATCTCCGTTGTCTCCCAAATTATTGAAAATTGCTTTATTGAGAACTATATCGCAATGATTTTTTTGACATAATTACTATGTGATATGCTAATTTACAAACATCAAAGTCTTAATAATAATTAAAAATACTTATTTTAACCTTTAATCTAAAAACATTATTCACAACCTTCATTTTATTATTTTTATTTTCAAAATTTTCTTTAAAATAAAAAGAAAATGACATTTTAGAATGTTGGTTGATAAATTTTTACAAGTTATGACTTTTTTGGGGAATTAAAAATAAAAAGATAAAATTGAATTGTGACATTTTTCACCCTCAGAAATTGTAATGACATCGTGCAACAATCAATACTATAATTAAAAACAGTTAAAAAGCTTGTTTGATTTAGATTTTAAGTCAATTAAAATCAATTTTTTTATCGTTATTTATTATTTCATCTGTTATTTTTGAATTCTTTTCTCACAAGTAGGACTCATTTTATCTCTAACAGTAAAAAATAAATTATCAAAATCCCTACCAAACAAGCACAAAACTAATTTTACTCTTACAACGTTGGAGAACTTCAAATTTAATTTTAGTAAAATATTCTTCTATGAAATTTTAAATTTTAAACCCATAATGTTGAATAGCTTTTAAGTTTAAAAGCAACTTAAAGTTACTTTAGTCAACTAATGTTTCAAACATTTGAATATTTTACTTTTTCTTATGTATAAGTTAAAAAATATTATTAACATTTACCTTTTTATGTATTGGTAAATTTTTAAAACTTGGCCAAATATAGAAGAGGCACGACGAAAGTTAAAATTGTTGTGAAGAAGCAAGTTGTACGTTAGGACATTTTTCAATTATCAATAAAATTAAAATTATTCTATCTAAAATTAGTCAGCGAGACGATTTCTCTTTTTCAGCTTGAACAAATTTTCCTTTTCTTTTATGGGTTTATATTATGTACAATGGAAAATGCACCAGATTGGGGAAACTTGAAGCAATGTTAGTTTTACTTTTTTTTTTTCCCTCTTTGCTTCATTTCTTGGCAAAAAGACCTCCACCATTAATATATTTTACATCTTTTTAGTTTAATTTTTCTCTTTTCTTGAAAGAAATGTTTTCTACTTTTCAAATTTTTGCATTTTGATTTGTGTCCACTCCTTCACATAGTCAATATTATTTTCGATTGTGATTTATGTATATAATGATTTACAAACACAAGATGTGGTGAAATAGATTGAGTCAGAACTTCTTCGAACAAATTTTGACACATCATTTGTATATAAACTATTATATAATTTCATTATGTACAAGTATTATTATTTTTTATTAATAGGGCAAACAAACTTTTTTATTATTTTGGCGAAATAAAAGGCAGACTTGAAAAACAACGAAAGAGGGTTGAACCCAAATAACATATATAATACTTGATTCTAGAATTGATTTGTCGAAATAGAGTGAAGGGTACCATTTTAAATTCTTTAATTTTGATAGTTAAGAATATTGAAGTAAGGGTCTGTTTGGTTGCAAGAATAAAATTTGGATAAAAATAAAACGAATTTCAAGAAATTGAATTGCCTAGAACTTGTTTTACTGAAAATTGTCGATTAAATGTGTTTGATTAATATAATTTTTCATCTAGAAACTATTACAATTTTGGATCTTTTGGTATTCGTTTGATTTTATTTTTCATGAAAATTGTTAATTAAAATGATATAATTTGTTACAATTAGGAGTCGAATTTGTTTCAACTACCAAAAAAAAAAAAAAAAAAAACCACGAAATCCATGAGAAAACCAATTCCTCAAAAAGGTGAAAATGGTGGTTGCCAAGAAAATTTGGCCAATCAAACATACAAAAAGATTAAAAATGAAATTTAATTTCCCACTTCTATGAAAAAATTGTGCAATCAAACAGGGCCTATTTGTATAATTTTCCTGTCCCAAAATTATAAAGGTAATGACACATTTAATCATTTATGAAGATTCTACTTTGTTACGCTATTCAGTACATTGAGAATAATGTTACATTGAGAATTGTCGAAAAAATGAAATTAATTGGTATAATTTTTCTGTCAAAAAATTATAAAGGTAATGAAGCAATTAATCTTTATAAAGATTCTACTTTATTACACTATTCGGTACATTGAGAATAATGTTACCATCGACTTATTAAACTTTGACTTGTCTCAGTTGAATCACAAAAATTCAATTAAATTTCAAGTTGGTCACTGAACTCTAATTTAATTTCAAATTTCGCCACTTCCTTACGTGTCATCTTCAAAATTGATGAGCCACCTAATTGACAACACATCGCAATGATCTTCCTCGTAATTTTTGCCAATTACCACTACGTGACATCAAAAAATGAAACACCGTTTAACCTTCATATCTAATAATATTTTTATTAACCCTTATTTTTAGGATGTCATGTAGCATTTACGTGGTAGATTAGTTATGATATAACTATTAACTTGTCAATTTGAGAATAATAGGTAACCAAATGCAAAAGGGTGATGAAATATGACTTAAACTAGATTAATGACCCAATTGAAATAAATTAAAGCTTTAGTCAATTAAAGTTTGAGAAAATTTATCCATAGATTGGATGGTTAAGTAGATACGAAGATTAAAATTTACAAGAAGTGGAAATAAATATACCAAACTACCAACCGAAGTGAGTAGTGTCCAATAAGCTATTTACTTGATGGAATCCACACCATGGGTGTAACCAAAGCTACCAACCTTACTTGAACACAAAAAATTTCCATCACAGATCAACCAACTTATAAGAAATATATATTTCTTCCATATATATAAAACCTATTCATTTGCATGCAAAGCTAATCATTATATTCAATGGCCTTTTGGAGAAAGAAAAATGGCACCCAAAAAATTCATCCTTCTGTCCTTTCACTATCCATGGGATCAGATAATTATCGAATTTTTCGAGGTCGGGATCGAGAATATTTGCAAGCAAGAAGGGCATTTCTCAGCAGTTATCAGCTTAGTGAAAGCAACAGGTTGAAGAAGAAGATAAAGAGGTTTTTAGAAGGGGCTAGGGAGACAGCCATGGCTGCAGTTGCAAAGAGAAAGAAGATTACTGGAATTAGGGCTTACAAGTTTACACTGACTTGGCCAACTGAATTTGTTATAAGATGCTTTGTTCCAGGAAGGAGATAATTCTCAGGTGAATTATTGAATATTTATATAAATAGACAGGAATTATAATATATACATGCATATTTATGTATACATTTATGTATGCTTGTTATTTTATTTATAAGAAAAGAATTGATATATTTCTACCTTTTATATATATATAAAGGGTTATATTATGATATTGTGTGAGACTTATATATGTTGAGTGCGTGTTTTTTGAGAAGATAATCTTGAATAACATGTTCTGATTATATATACTTTGTATTAAAACATGAGGTTCTATCATAAACGTTCAACATTTGTAAGAAAAGTAGCTCAAACCCCTATATATTGACATATATTTTCATCTTTATTTGACATGGGTTTTATCCTTTAATATACCCAATAAGATGGTAGCTTGTTTGAGCGGATCAATCCTGAAATATGTGTGCTCAATTCTTAGTTTCAAGCGAATCGAGTTGCTCGTTGAAATTTAATGAACTCTAGTACTTTATTAAAACTTGGGGTTCCATATTAAAATGTCAACCTTATTAAGAGAAATAGGTCAAGCCCTTATATATTGATTTATATTTTATCTTTATTCAACGTGATTTATCCCTCAACACTTTGCACATATATATGTGATGTTTTGGAAAAGACTCGTGTTTGAATAAGTAATTTTCCCTCAGTTTTGATAAGAACAAGAAATTTATTATAATGGTGCTTCATCTTAATGATCTCACCATATGGCATCGTCTCGCTAATTGCAACTTTTTGAAAGGTACTCGGGATTTTTAGATGAATGATTAAGTCGTGTGTGTGTATATATATATACATACACACATTCGCAAGGGCAGAGTCAGGAAGATATGTTAGGGTGGGCTGAAAATTAAATTTTTTTCATAAATGCTCTTTACTACTCGAGATTTAGTTTAAAAGGTTACACTCTTCACGCTAATGACAAAATGGATCAAGATATATTTTTAAACATTTATGACAAAATTCTAACAAATATATTTTTAAATGATAAAAGTAAATATAAAGCATATTTCCATTTCGTGGTCGAAATAAATAAATTTTTTAACTCACAAGTATAAATAAGCAATATATGAAAAAATACGATAGAAAAAATTAATTACTTTTAAGCTTAGTCAAACATGTGACATGCTACAATAAGTTATTTATCGTTACTTTAATCAATAAAAATTATTTCTAATATAATAAATTAGTTTGATTATAAATGAACTATTTAAATTTAAATAATTGAACATTGGGTTTGGGTTGGGAATGTAGTTAACTGTGCTAAAAATTAATTTATGGACTGGGCTAAATTTTTATTCTTCTTTATTTCACCATTAATTTGGGTTGAATTTTCCATTTTTTACAAGTCAATTACCTATTGGGCTGGGGCTAGGCTACACCCCACCTCTCCCTCCGTCTCTGCACATTCATAACAATTACTCATTTATCATCCACATATTTCATAGAACTTAGTATTATTCCTTTGTATAAATCATTTATAAATTTTCCAAAGAGACGGTTGACTTGGTTTATTTCAAAATAAACACAATCCAAATCCAGCGCCTCTTCTTGTTGATATTTTGAAATAGACTCCACAGCAACGAACCTTTATTACATGAATGCATACCAAATTTACAGTTATACAGTGCAACCTCTATAAATTAATAGTCTTGAAATTATATAAATTTTATTAAAAGAGGTATTAATTAATCGATAATTATATAGTTTATCAATTTATAGAATGCATTTACATTTCAACGAACATACATTAATCAACTAAAATATCGTTTTATTTTATCTATCTAATCAATTGAATGTGAATTATATAAATGTATTAAATTAAAAATATCATTTGAAAGTTAGTCAAGGTACAATATCAAATACACTCAAGTGATTATTAGAGTAACTTCTTTTTTTTTTTTTTTTTGGTTGACTTAGAAAAAAGGTGGTCATGCTAAATGGCACAAAATATCAAAATTTCCTGATGTGGAGTAGGCTGTTTATCAGTGGTTTCTTCAATACCAAGATCATGCGAATATAACAAGAAAGCTAATCTTGAAAAAAGCAGAAGAGACTGAAAATATTAAACCATGAAGAGACTCTATAATTCAGCTTTTCTCAAGGTTGGTTTGAGAAGTTCAAGTTAGACATGATATTAAGGCCCTACTTGAGCCCCATTATTTTATTATTATTATTATTATTATTATTATTTTTTTGAGGAAAAATGGGTTTTGAAATATTGATTATTTGAATATTGTGTAGTTAAAAAATAGGAAAAATATTTGGGTTTACGTGTAAATTTATTTTATGGGAGAATGTGTGGTTGAAAATGATTTTTATGAAAAATGGAGCTCAAATGTAGGCTAAGTTATTTCGTCGTTTTGAGAAAGTGGATCTATTGATACTAAAGAGCTATGAACCAGCGCAAACTAATCTAGAAAAAATAAATACTTTGTGTGCAATCGATCTTGCAGTCTCAATTGGACAATAAATGTTCAAGTAAAGACAATCATAAACATGAAACAATAATCAAATATTTAGATTACCATGATAGAATGGAGATCAATTACCTATCGGATTATCCTAGTAAAAATGATGCGAGTTCAGAGGCTTCAAGTTTATAAGAAATAATTGTTTACATCACTAAAAATTCTGTTGATAACGAAGTTGAGGATGATACGATAATTCTGGAGCCTTTTATGCGCACTTCAAGAATTTTATTGCAATTCAAGAAGTCAACCCAAAACTTCTAGATGTAATAAGAAAAATTGGAGATGAGATCCACTTAGATTTAAATTTCAAGAAAAAATTAAGTCACAATAATCATATTTTAACAAAATATCATAGTCAATTGTAATTTTGAAAATTATTATTTTATAATATGAACGAGACTTGAGTTATGAAAGAGTTTTCAGAAAAAAGTATTTTATTATTTACCGAAACTGTTAGTTTAGTCATTAGCCCAAGTTAAAGCCATAATATAATATTATATAATAGAGGTTATTAATTTATTGATGTTATTGTGGGCCTGTTTGGGAGCGATTTTTCATCCAAAAATTGATTTTTTGACCGTTATTTCACTATTTCAGCCGTCATATTTGATTTCTTCTCTCACGCGTGGACCTTACTTTTCTCCTAACGGTCAAAAAATGTTATGATAAATCCAACAATACGAGTAATGGATTATTATTGTTGACCTCAAACTTTGTTAAGGGTGATATTCCATTAATTAAAAATGAAAATAATTAATAAAAGATATAAAGATCATTTTCTCTTAATAAAGTTGACATTTTGAAGATGAAACTCCAAATCTTAATATATTTTGAATCACGACATCAATTCATATTTACGACCAAGTAGTAAATGTTATTACTCTTTCATTCGACTCCTCCAATGTTGCAAGGAAGGTTGGTTGAAGACAATATGAGAGACTGAAATTACGGTTACCTTACGTTGTCCGTCAACTCTAAAATCTCAAGAAATTGAAGTGTTTTCCCAATATT